TCTTCCTATACTGATGAAAAGTATTTTGAAACATCATTGTGATTTTAATTTGCATTTCCCTGATGGTTAGAAATTTTGAGGATTTACTCATATGAAAGTGTTCTTTTATGAAATATCTGTCTAAGTCTGGTGCCCATTTGTTTATTATACTACTTGTTTCCTTGTGATTAAATAGTTGGAGTACTTTATGTATTTGGACACAGGCTCCTAATGAGAAGGTTTTTCAATAGTTTCCTCACAATCTATGCTATGTTCACTTCGCAATCCCTCCCTTTGCTATGAAGAAGCTGGGCAACATGATACAATTTCATTTGTATGTTTTGACATAGTTCTTGTTTTATGGGATTCTGACAGTGAAATTGTCAGTGGTGTAGAATAAGTAGGGAGAACTCCACCCCATGCCCCCAGGTTCTTATTACTAGCATAGAAAATATTCAAGGTGACACAAAATAAGAAATGGGGGTGAATTTTATTACAGAGGAAAGTACACCCTCAGGAGAGAGTGTGGGCTTCTGAAGGGTGAGTCACATATTAGCGACTTACTTGGTGAAATTTACATTAATCTAGGGGTGGGTTATTTTATGACTAGCACAACTTGACAAGGAGTATTCATTTCTTTGGCATGTCAGGCTACAGGTTAAAAGGTTAGACCAGAGGTCAGCAGGTGAAGATGTTTTTATTTCAAATTGAGTAAGTTCTGCAAATCAAGGAGTTCAGAATGGCCAGCCTGGAGGTACTCTGTTTCCTTGTACTGAAAATGAATTGTCTGTGCTGTACATGGTTTTAAGGAGTAATGAGGAAAATCTGTGCTGATGGAAGTGTCCAGGACATTGCTGCCAGTCAGCTGTGCCCCTGAGTCCACCCAGCTGCCACAGGTCTCTTCCCTGCCATGGATGGAGCAGAGGGAAGTCAGATATGCTGTCCTCTGTGTCATCAGGATGATGGCACAGGGACAAGGGTGGTCACTGTGCTCTGTTTCTGTAGGATATGCACACAAGTGCAGATTCTGATATGCATGCACTTCTTTACACAGCAAATGAAAATGATCCATCCACTGCCCCTCTACCATGCTAACCATGTATCCCTCCCTCTGCTTGTCACAAAGAGGACAGTATAGGGACAGCTTCCTGATGGCCCCCAGGCACATAACCCTCAGCTGCTTGAAGTCAGGAAGATGGCCTCTCCTTGACTCTCCTCCAATTCTCTAGTGAGGAAACACAAGGGTAATGGCTCCTCAGTGAGCATCCAAGGAAAGGATACTGTGAGCTGTAATAAGGGCCTCTTCAGCTTCACTTTCCCCAAATCACAGATCTCCTCAGAAGCCACTGTGTGTGCTGAGGATCCTGGTCCTGAGTGGGCAGATGACCCCATGACAGCAGACACAGAACCCTTACCTAAGGGCACCTGTACTGCTCATCATAGACCTGCTCCCCATCTGAGTCCTGAGTCCACCCATCAGGGTCAGGACCCAGGTGAGGGGAATGCAAATCTCCACAGCTCCATCCACTCTTGAGTTGAAAAACCCAGCACAGAGCCTGGGTCATGACTGCTGTTCCACCATGGACAGTCTGTGTTCCATGCTTCTGCTGCTGACTTTCCCTGCCTGTGAGTGTTCTGCAGGACTCCTTCAGGGCTGAAAGTGTCCTGTCCTCACCTGAGGCTGCTTCACCTTATTCTTGTGTTTCTCCACAGGTGTCTCATCCCAGATCACCTTAAAGGAGTCTGGCCCTGGGCTGGTGCCACCCTCCCAGACCCTCAGGCTGACCTGTTCCTTCTCAGGCTTCTCACTGAGATCCGTCAGCCCCCAGGGAAGGCCCTGGAGTGGTTGGCAAACATTTGGTGGAATGATAATACGTACTACAACCCAGCCCTTAAAAGTCAGCTCACCATCTCCAAGGACAGCTCCAATAACCTGGTCTTCCTCACAATGACCAACCTGGACCCTACAGACATGGCCACCTATCACTGTGCTAAGGCAGCACTGAGACACAGCCTTGGGTGCCTCCTGCACAAGATCCCAGACTGGGCCTCAGCTCTGCTCCCTCGTCTGTGCATCAGGATAGAGTGGAGGATGTGCCCTTTCCTGTCAGCCTCTGGGGTTTCCTCTCCACTCCAGAGCCTCACAGCCCTGTCTTCCTGTTGCTTCTCTAATTTTACCTCACACGTCCCTTGTGACTTGCCATGAATTGACCCGCTGTTTTGTTTATAAAGGTGAAGGGTGCCTGGTGCCTAGGACACATGGGTCACTGATAAGTTGCAACCTGCTACACAAGCTACCTCCTCACAGCAAAAGAGCACAAATCACAATGTTTGCCCTCCTTAAATTTTGAAGTGGGCTGGATCACCAATCCGAATCCATGAGGAGTTATAGAAATGCTGACAGTGTGTTTTCTTGTAATGGAGATTTGCTAGAATCCACGTGCACTAATAAAATTCATAAGATGATAAACAGATTTGATGTGTCCCCATCCTACCCAATCAGGGTACAAATGAATCACAAGGATTATGGCATCTGCTACTGATAAGCTTGTGTCCAGGAGTGAGTTAGGCGCTCAGGTAAGTTAGTAGTCTTACACTGGAACAGGAAATGTAAGATCAGACACATCTTATTAAATCCGATTACTATTTTGGAATTAAATGAGTAACACAAAATTTACTGTTAGACAGTTCCCCTTATTAGCACAGACTTGTTAGGTAATCAATTTGTGACGAAGACTTTGTCCTTAAGATTTAGAGGTTTCTGTCTGTGGTTGGTTGTCCTCACTATGTCGGGTCTGTGGTGTTGCATCATGGTGGAGTGTCTGTCTGCAAAGCTAAACCACTCACCACATGACCTTGAACAGAAAGTGAGGAACAAACTGTGGCTGGGTCCTACTGTCCTCTTCAAGTCAATTCCCCTAAAACATGACAGCTCCCCACCAGGGTCCACCTCTGGAAGTTCCACCACCTTCCTGTAGTGCCATTGTGTGGTGAAGTCCACACATTGCGACATGGACCTTTGCAGGACATTTAAGTACAACTATGGAGGACAGAAATACAATTCTCGTGACATGCTTAGTTCAAGTTTGAACATCAAAACAGAATTCTCAATAACTTTAGGAAAACTGACCCATATAAATTAGTGGAGAGAGAGAGAGAAACATCAGCATAGTTGGCAGAAATGGATGACTGATTACTAGATCTTCAGTATAAAGCATAGGATCAGGTTTTCGTAGATCTCAGAACACATGGAACACAGTGAGGAACAAGAGCACTGGTCGGGAACGAGGTGCTGTGAAACACACCTACAGTAGTGACACTCTGAAAGGCTATTTCCACAGGATATAGTAGTTTGTCTGGGTGAGCTGGTAGCCTGTGTTTTGCTGCTGCTATGTTCTAAGTTTTGCTTACTTCACCCAGTTTGAACTCTATTAGATACACATGTGATAAAACACACATTATATAAAGCTTACACAGTAGTGGATTGGAGGGCTCAAACAAACTATAACATTTCTTAACCTGAATCCCTAATCTGCTCTCACTCCCTCCATACCTCTGTCCCATCCCCTGAACAGTGTCTCTGTGGATCCCATGAGCTATGGGAGAGGGGAACACTCTGACAAAGGTGATGAGGAGTGGGTTATGGTGGGATGTTCTAGTGTATGCAGGGAGTGGGAGGAGATGACCCTCACAAGGAGCCCCTCAGCTCCAGAGGAAGTCAGTGCTCAGGATGCTGTATGACAGAAATATCACAGAGGTCTGCTTGTGAGAGGGTGCAGGGAGAGATGAGCAAGGAGTTGAAGGGGAGGCTGCTGCCTAAACCAAGCCAGCCACATCCAAAAGACATGGTAGTAAGTGCAATTTTACCATTTGATCTCCCTTCTAAATTTCCCATTTTTATTCACCTATGAAATAAAAATGCAGATAGAAGTGCCAAAATGAACTTAGAAGTACTGGAAGGGTGAATGGTACAAGTCTGGAAGGTAGCTCAGGTCAGGATATGAAAGTGTGCTTGGAGAACGGGGGATCCATGTCTACATTCACTGGACATCCACATCACCACAGAGGAGAGTCGGTTTTCCATGAAAGGTGTGGAAAGTGTCACTATGTAGGATTGTGGGGTTGTCTTTTAAATTTCCTGTGAGCCATCTGTATTGCAAGGAAAGCATTGATACTGCCTTAATTTTAATCCAAAATAAAATTTATTTACACATTTCATTTTCATTGAAATTTATGTAAAAACAGTGTACAGGTCCACCCTGCCAGCCTGCTGCTCCAAAAACCTGGTTTCTGTTGTTCATTTTGACATACTCAGCTCACATTTGCCTTCAATTCACTGAAATGTGGACACAGCAAGGGAGGGAGGAGTTAACAATCAGAGCCTCCCACCCAATGCCAGAGGCCTTAGTCTGCTCTTCCACCTACTCTTGTGGTTTCACTGGATGTAGCATTCAATTCCATGATCTCAGTTTTCCACAAGGAGGAATTTGTGCTCACCTGTGCTCTGTGTGGGATTTGAACCTACATCCCTGTCTCCCTGAGCGTCTCCCTGAGCATTTCCCTAAGCATCCCTGTCACCCCAGTGCATGTCGCAGTCAGCTTTGATTGGGAGTATACTTCGATTGCCCTAAATTCACTTTAGGTTTAGAGGAGGAGTGCCCAGGATGCTATTTTATAGAAATGTGGATGTAATCTGTAAAAAGCTGGTGATAACCTGATAATTCCAGGACCAGAGACCTCTGGGCAAGACCTGATGCAGGTCTCCTCCTGCAGCCAGAGACGCAGGCTCAACATGAGCTCCTAACAGCTTGTCATAGACTCAGGGGATACCAATGCATGGGTTTGAAAGATTTATTCCAGAACGAGAGTCAAGGACCTATCCAAGACGACTGGCATCAGATGCCAAAGCCTCCCATTTTCCCATGATGTGAGGGAGGACCCCTTGTGCCCCACAGATCTCAGTAACTGTAGGCTTGAGCTTTGCCCCCTCTTCTGACATACAGATGTTCCTTCTGTATTCTCTATACTTTTTCAGGCCCCAAAGCCTCTGCCTCAGGGTTTTCTTCATCTTCATCTTCATCTTCATCTTCATCTTCATCAGTCTTAATGGTTCTTGCATTTGTGGCCACCCCAAGGAGCAGTGTTGCTAATAAGGCATAAATACGACCAAAGGCCACTCTTAAATATATGATAGGTTGTAAGCTTTGTTTTACTGTGCGCACTCTCATCAGAGGGGGGCCGCTGTCTTCACTCCCTCCCTTACCTTCTCTTGCACACTTTGGAGGGTCCCAGCCTATATGGCAATGGCAATGCTTTTTATTGTTGCAAACTCCTCTAAAATTGCACTTGGCAGGGTCACAGTCATAACCCAGTGACGACAAACTCTTTGTGCAACCAGTATGATCACAGAACTTTCCCGAGCCGCAGGGAGTACCAGTTCTCACTCGTCCAGCATCATTTACTTGTGTTGAACGGTGCTCGTCCAACCCAAAACACTGAATCCCAGAAATCACTGACTGATGGAATGAAACATGCTCCTGCAACCGGGGAAGATGGGTGACATTGGTACACTGCAGCCTTCCACACAGCTTATCTGCTTCGGAACAAGCTGTGAATCTGAGGCTTGAATCCTCTCTTGAACAATGTCCAAATCGGAACTGATTGGTATTTATTGCATAGCATTGTTCAGCACTGTGAGCATTTGCACCAAATATTTCCTTGCATTGCACAGATCGGTCAGTGCAATTTCCATGGTAACAGTAGCCTTCTTCAGTGCACGGGGTTCCATCTTGCAGATAAAAGTCTTCAGGGCAGAAGATGGAGGACCCATTACAATACTCTGGAAGATCACATATGTTCCGGATATTTCTGCAGAGGGTCCCAACAGGGGTGTGGGTGCAGTTTGTACAGCACGATTCTTTATCACAAATGCTTTTTGTTGTGAAACTACAGTCAGTTTCACAACATTCATTGGCATAACACTGCTTAAAGGATCCACAGTCACATTGCTCTCCTTCATTTATTTCACTATTTCCACAAATATTCTTTGTCCAGGATTTATTATGATAAATCCGTTCTTCACTGAAAAGACATGCTAGGTTGTCAGGGGTACCCACTATCTGTTGCAGATTGACAATGGAACAATTACTGAATGTGTCTGTTATCACCGGATACCTATTCATTATGCAGGTGGTCCTTCTTTGGCAAACACAATGCATATTATCAGCGTCATAGTCCAAACCTAAACTCCTCCCAACGTGATTGGCTCCTAAAACAGCTAACAAGAGATAATGTCTGCCTTGTTGACCAAGGAAGAATAGGCTGTGAGGTTGGCACGCACCCGGTGAGGCCACGGTATACTCGTGTTCACTTGGCCTATCTTTATTAATTAGACAGGATAAATGAGGCCTAATAACATCATAAATGTGCTGTGAATAATAATTGTAAATTGGACTCCCTGGCACTCTAAAATCATTCAGAGCGGCTGGATCATTGTTGTTATATACAAATACACTAAAAACATAGTACCTCAAATGAAGACTTAGCAAAAAGTTGTCAACTATACTAAACATCTTTATCATATAGAAGCAACAATTTGAAATATTGTTGCTGTTTAACTGAAACATTGAATGGGAGCATTGAAGCTGGCCTTTTATGGCCCCTGAGTGGGAAGCATAGTCCCTACTAGACATCCTGGGAGCCACACTGGAGCTCGCTTCAGGGAAGAGGGGGCCCGTATGCGGCCTGTGTCCTTGCCTATATGTAGGCCCTATTGCATCTACATCAGCCACTATCTGAGAGACAACATGCTCAAACCTGTGCGAATCCTTGAGGGGTTTGATTTCATAGGCAAGATCATCCAGCTTCATGATGCCTTCCAGGCCCCCAAAGCATGTGTCAACGGTGACCATGGACTCCGAAATGTCCTCCAAGTGACCGAGATAGTAACAGTCTGAAGGAAAGTAAGGGTAATCCATCTGCAAAGCTCCTTGGTCGTCCTGAGTCATCAGCATCAAGTGTCTGGGCCACAGTAGCTTTTTTTTCTGCAGATGAATGATGTGACTCTGGCCTCCAAATTGCAAGCTGTAGGAAAGCCGGCCTGGCAACTGAAGGCCCTTGCCCCGGTACGTCTCCTTCCTAGGAATCACCACCTCCGATGAGGTGTAACGCCATTTTGGTCGGCCTTGAGAACACTGGACTGGAGAAAGGCACACCCAGAGCCCAAGCAGTAAGAGGAGGGCCATTTGCCTGACATGTCCCTCGGCCGGCCTCATGCCCCAGCTCAGGGACATTTGTCCAGGAGAGAGATGGTTAAAGGCAGTGTCCTCAGTGAAGCCAGGTCTGAACCCCGTGTTATGGCCACTTCTCTCCCAAGGAGACACTGACAAAGGACAAAGGGCCTCCTCAGGCTCCCTGAACCCCAGCCCTAGTGGTTACCTGGACAACCTGAGAGCTAGGTAACAGTCATGGGGCATGGCAGTGGTGACCTGCACATGATGTCAGCTAAGCTTGCAGTGGTGTGCTGCAAGGGTCATGTCTCTGAGTGCTCGCCAGGGAGGGAAAGCACAAAGGAAGAAGGGTGTGTCTCCTTCTGCTCAATATGCTCCACCTTTTCTCTTGATTGTGAAGATACAAAATATTCATTCCATATTTTTAGTACCCTTCATGCATTACATCCTCATGTTAGTCAAAGTCAGTTTCTATGGAGCAAGAATCCTCTTCATTCAGGTTCACGTTCCACAGGTTTTTTTGATAGTCAGAGGCAGACATTGTAAATAGTAGCTCTTTAGGCGTTATTGGAAGATCCTTTCTGGTCTTTAAATATACATATCTTGTTCTTCTGTGTAGTTAAGGTATTTGTAAGCAGTTGGATCCTTTGTTTGAGTTTTCCAGATCAGCAATTAATACAGTATGATTTTTCTCCAATACTATGTAAAACCTTTCTGAGAGCGCTATCTGAGTAACCCCAAACTGCTAGTTTTTCTCCAGCTCTTGGGAACATAGTCTATTCCTGATACAATCTGAGCTCCAGCTGTGGGTCCCTGTTATCCTTTGCATGGTTCTTTTCCTGCCAGTTGGGGTTTCCCCATTTGCACATGCTGAACAGCTCTCAGCAGAAGATAGAAGGGCACCTCTGCTGCTATGAATGTCCAAGAACAAATATATCACCTACTCTTCCCAGTTTCATCATTGTTTATGTGGGGAGGGAAAATGCACAGCCAGGTCACAATCAGAAGCAAAAAGTACATTGTCTTCCAAACCATGAGTATTTCTCTTGTCTTTTGCAAATGTAGTCACTATGAAAACTTAGGGTGAACGCAGTACATATTGGAGTTTGCAGCTCACACACAACCCTCTCTTGGAGCACTGAAGTCCCTCCAGGTTGAGCACACCCTCCCAGGAACATGGCACATATTTTCACTAAAGGAAGGAAGATGCTTCATGTTGTTTTGATTTTTCCTGCGTGATCTTTGTGCTCCTCCTTTATAAGCAAATGGTTTCCACTGGACCCCTTTCTGTTTTATTGTCCCTCTAGGTTCCTCTGAAGAGTTCCTTGTGGAAAGCAGCAAAGACCAAACAACCTCACAGTGAAGACCCTGCAAGAACACACAGACAGGTGAAGGAGGTCAGCAGCAGCAGAGCCAGGTCAAGAGGCAGCACTTCCCTGGACATGATGTGAGGAGGATGGCATTTTGTCTCTTTATCACCTCTCAAAAACACAGAATCTTCACATAAACTCGAAGAAATATCAAACACACTTGTAGGGTGTTCTATAAAATGCCTGGCCTGCATGCCTCAAAACTCTCACCAAAGCAAAGAAAGGGTGAAAAACTGTTTACCACCAGCCCAGCTCAGATCTGATGAATTATTGCTGTGTGGGTGGATCCTGGACAGAAGGAGGACATTAGGGGAAAGTAAGAGAATATGAATCTAATAAAGATTTGAGTTAATGTGTGGGGGTCTGGGGGGATTGAACCCATATCTTCACCCATGCTAGGCAATGTGCCCTCTCCCTGTGCATTTTTTCTATTGGAGATGGGGTCTTTGCTAACTTTACCCAGGCTGGCCTTGAGCTCTCCATTCTCCTTCCTCTGCCTTCAAGTAGCTGGATTACAGGCATGCACCACCACACAAGGCCCTAGTTTGGTTAATTCTGCTGCAGCATTATTGGCTCATTGATTATGATAAATGTACCATACTCATGTAAGATGCTGAAAACAGGAACAACTGCAGGTAAGGTGGCTGAAAACTTGCTTGTCTGTCTTCCTTATTTTTCTATAAATCTACAACCTTTCTTAAAAGTAATTGAAACTGGAATCTTTTTGTGAGATTGGGACCAGCCATGCTGACTAGGGTCAGAGCTCTGCTAGCTCAGGAGTAGAGAGTTCCTGGTTCATGCTGAGTTTCTTTGTCTGAGTGCAATGGATGTAATTCATGGACAGTAGAGGGTAAGAGTGTAGACAAGAAGCTTATTAAGAGAAAGGAAAAGTCTCCCACATGATGGGGGATTCCAGTAAATATTGGGTCTGGGAGCTTTTAACCTGTTCAACTCCTGGAGTAGCCCATGTCCCATGACAATCAGGTCATTCTGGTTGGCCATACCCACAACCTTCTGATCAGACAGGTCTCACCTGTGCTCAGTTAGGTCCTTCCCACCCACTGTGGAGTTCTGGGGTGGGGGTGAGGGATTGCTAGGGGTGTTAAAGGGAATGGTGCCATCTTTCCCATGTGTCTGCAATTCAGGTTACAATGAAAGTTTCCAAGGGGCCCTTGGTCCTAACTATACCTGCCTGATTTCAGCTAACTACTCCCTGTTTGCTCATACTGATAGGGCACTCTTCAAAACCAAAAGGTCTGAAAAGAACCTGTCTCCCTCTGTTAATACTTTGAAGAAACCTGCTGGCATTTCTCAGAGCTCATCACTAGCTAAGACACCTAAGACACCTCTAAGGTATCCAAGTCACTTGCTTGGTTTTTGCCAGCTTGTTGGGATCATTTTAGGGGAGTGATTCCCACAGCCTGCTGTCATGCCAGAGCTCTCCATAGCAATGAAGCTACTCCCAGCCCCCAGTTACGCAGAGCAGAAGCCAGAGGTCACGATTTTCAAGTCAAACAAGCCCAGGATGGGCAGTTTAAATGAAGTTTGTGTTTTCAAAGTGGTCAATCTCAGATATTTGCCTGTGTTTCTTTCTGTTAGGAAAATGCCACACATCGCACACAAAGGAGGCTCATGAGAGGTATCTCACTTCTAAAAGTTTAATAAGCAGGCTGGCTGGCCGAGAAAAATGGTGCAGCAGCTTCTCTCAGCGGGTCTGGCCTTAAGTAGCATTTGGGAGAAAGCAAGGGCTAGGGACAGGCAAAGGGAGGTGGTGGGAGATAAGGCACAGTGGGTTTTGTTCTGCAAGGGATGAAACCAGCTGCGGCTCAGGCTGCAGAATGGTGGCAAGGGGCAGTTCTTATCATTCCCCCATTTTTTTTCCTTAAAGAGAGAGGGAGAAGAAAAGGGTTGGGTATTGGGGCTCAGTTTGATCCTCTGGCTGCTTCCGGCTGGTGGGGGGCATTGTATGGAGCAGTATCCTCAGGCTCCTGTGTCCTGGTGGGGGCCCTCATAGCAGTCCTCTGGACGGTTTTGGAGAAGTTGATATCCCTAGAGGTACAACTGGTTAAACTTTTGATTAGCAATAGCAGACATGTGGTATGACACAAGGGAGGAAGCTTAAGAATAGGAGAGCAAGACACTTAGGCATCAGGATGGGCATTGGCCAGGAGAACCACTGTGAAATGTTGTTCTCTAGAGGATTCCAAGTGTCCATTCCTTAAGAGGTGCTGCCACTGGGGGATCCCATTGAGCTTGAGAGCAGTGGGTGTCGTGAGAATAACCAGATGAGGGCTGGTTCACCAAAGTCCCAATGGAGAGAGTAGAAGATCCTTTAAGAGAACAAGATCCCCTGGTTTAATAGAAATTGTTATAGGGTGGGGCAGGATCTGGTCTGTATGTTTTCTGAGAAGTTCCCTGAGAAGGTTAAGATAAGGTAGTAGTCAGTCAGAGGAGCAGAGTCTGTTGGAGGCAAGTTTTTTAAGAGAAATGGGTGGCCATACATTATTTAAGACCCAAATAGGAATATTAGGAGGAGCATAAAAAGGTGTCTGCTAAGGGACTGCATACCTAGGGATCTAAATTCTGTAAAATCCTGTAACTCCCAAGCTTGCTGTAAGCTGTCTTGTGGTATGCATGAGGGAGGGAAACGGAAGATTGGGTTGATGCACTCATGACTCAGGGAGTGAGTCTGTCCTTTAAGGCCACACCTAGGTAGGTGACCTGTGGGAGGCAGGGGCTGTCAGGATTTAGGTTAAATGTAACACCTTTGGATAAAAGAGAGTTTTAGCTCATTTTGTATATAACTTTGTAAATGTATGTACCATATTTAGATAAAGTATAAACACAACACTGTTACAAGATGGTCATTTAAGACACATAAGCAAATATGTAAATGAACTCTGATTTAGTAGTACTTAAAGCTTGACAAGATCAGCAGAAAACACAAATAATTTCTTTGATAAAGACTTTTTCTGTAATGGTTTTTGTAGATGTTACTCAGAGCAGAACAATATGAAGATAACCTTGTTATTTTATAGACATAGAGAGTTCGATTTTAGTTTGACATGACCCTAAAAATCTTTCAGGCAACTCTTATATTCAACTTTAACTTTATTACACATTGAAGATTTTTATTATACACATTTAAAACTTACTTAGACCTTTATATAACATATTAAACCTTTTGATGGCTTGTCTTTATCCCTCCTATTTGAAACAATCTTTAGGACAAACCCTTTTATAAAATCCTTTCTCATTTAAAAAATTTGTCCTTTAACTTCTTTAAAAATTATGTTTATTATCTATCTATATACTTTTTAGTTGTTTACTTTGTAACTTGTATTTTAAAATTAACTTCTATAAGAATTTTAAATTTATTATAAGGGGTGAAGTAACTAATTAGTAGCCCTTAGTTTTTTTAAGGAATTTATGATAGGCAGAAGGCGTCATCATCCCTCAGTCTTGAGGGGATATTGTTTTGGGTGTGGAAACCGTGAGGTATTTTTGAGTTTTATTTGAATAGGGAGAGCCATCAGGCTCACCCTATACTCATTTCATCAGTTTACACTGTGGGATCTTTTTGTTTTTGAAGGAGGGGGCAGCAGAGATAGCTGCCTGGGGGAGGAGAATTTGAGCTTTAGTTGTGATAGTAAATCTTGTCCCAGCAGGGACATTGGACTTTCAGGAACTATG